GAACCCGCGGGCTCAGGCAATCCACTCACCTCAGCCCCCCAAAGGCGCGGGATTACAGGCTGAGCCACCGAGCCCGGCTTATTTATTATTTATTTATTTATTCTTGAGTTGGAGTCTCACTCTGTCACCCAGGCTGGAGTACAGTGGCATACTCATGGCCACCACAGCCTCAACCTGCTGGGCTCAGGCGACCCTTCTGTCTCAATCTTCCAAGTAGCTGGAACTGCAGGCACGCGTCACTACACCCGGTTAATTTTTTGATGTACTGTAAAGATGAGGTCTCATCAAGCTGCCCAGGCTGGTCTCAAACCCATGGGCTCAGGCAATCCTTTCACCTCTGCCTCCCAAAAGTGCTGGGATTATAGGCGTGAGCCACCTTGCCCAGCCAATATCCCTCTTTTTAAAACCTTCAGATTTATTGTACTGTATCAATTTATCCTCATTTTCTAAAATTACAAAAATAGTAGATCACAGTTATTTTGAGGGTTTAAAATTTTTTAATGTAGAGAAAAATTTCAAACTTTTTTTTACTATTTATTTATTTATTTAGAGTTGGGATTTCACTCTGTCGCTCAGGCTGGAGTGCATTGGCACGCTCACGGCCACCGCAGCCTCGACCTACTTGACTTAGGTGAATCTTCTGCCTCAGCTTTCCAAAATAGCTGGAACTACAGATGCATGTCACCACACCCGGCTAATTTTTGTGATTTATTGTAGAGACAAGGTCTCACCAAGTTGCCCAGGCTGGTCTCAAACTCCCAGGCTCAGGCAATCCTCCTGCCTTGGATTGCTGAAGTGCTGGGATTACAGGCTGAGCCAGCACACCCAGCCTAAACCTTTTAATGTGTCTTACAAATTATTCCCCCATTCTCTTGTTTTCTTTTTATCTGCTGTTTTAGTCATTCACTATACTGAACAATCAGATTCTTATTTAATTGTTTCTGTTTGTCTTTACCTCTACAGTTCTATCTACTGGTTTTAAGAATAATCTCCCGCCGGGCTCGGTGGCTCAGCCTGTAATCCCAGCGCTTTGGGAGGCTGAGGTGAGTGGACTGCCTGAGCCCGCGGGTTCGAGATCCGCCTGGGCAACTTGGCGAGACCTCATCTCTTTAGTTTATCAGAAAACTAAAGAGTATTTGACATCTTCCTCTGGCTATGTTCCTCACATAAACTTTTTTTAAAAAAACACATTTTCATTTAGAGTCATAGCAAAATGTTTATGTTATCAAGAGTTAATATTTAGCCAAATTTCAACAGAATTTCCTCCCCCAACATTTCTAAAATCAGGAGTCAGCACATCAAATTATTTGAGTAAAATAAAATAACTTAGATTTTTAAAATCTTGCCCATACATCTAAATTCCATTTTTTAAAATCACCTGTTTCCCAGCTAATTCTATATAGTGTGTAAAGGACACTAAATGACAATAGCTTTAACCACTCCATCACAAATATAGATGGTACCCACTTATGATGGTTTGGTTTACTAGTTTTAAACACTATGAAGCTGTAAAAGCGATATGCATTCAGTAGAAACAATACATTGAGTACCAGTTTGCTCCCCAAAACAACTACTCCCTTACCCTTGGACCTAATGCCTTCCTGTAGGTTCTTTGATAAGCACAAAAGCCATATACTTTTCATTCTATTTTTTTATAAGATTATTATAGGTATACAGTACCTAGTAACTACTCAATAAGTAAGTGAATTACCAGGAAAGGCCTACTTTTGTAATAATCTCACTTTAGGGAAAATGAAAATTAGAACAAGCCTTAAACAATCACTCTTGCTAGCAAAAAGCACCATGGATTCAGTACTGTACCTTCAGTTCCTGTTTGGGCTCCACGTTCTTTATGGTTGTATAATACACATGGTGGCCATACTGGTAAGCCACTAGATTCTGCTCCAGGTGATTCTGGGCTGGACGTACAAACATCATCCAGTTACAAAGGGTCTCATCAGATAACTCAAACCATAGGTCTTCATGCAAATCCCTGTCTTTTCTGTCCCCTTTATCAAGAGAAACCTGGAACCAAAGAGAAAGTAAAAAGCCACACCAAAAAAATAAACAAAACCTTCCATTTGATATGCATTAATGTCATAATGTACAAAATATTGCTTTTTGAATTAACCATACATCCTGATTCTTTCCTTTGTATCTACAAAGATACTGGAATTGTGGCTTGCCAAATGTAAAAGAGAAAATATACTTTCTGAAGTCTCACCTGTAGGAGAATTACCTGATAAAATCAAAAAATTAACCAGCTAATTGCGTGGCTTTAGCTAATAGTTTGCAAAACTAACATGGCCCCAAAATGCTATAAATAAACAAAAAAATGCAGGCAAAATACTCTCCAGTTCATCACAACTTGCCTCCTTTTGGAATTTAAATGCATTATTTAAAATATGCTGCCCAGAGATGGGTGGTTCTCTTCAAAAAGTAGTATTCTTGCTTGGAGATCTTGAGCATTCACCAAAGAAACCCCCATGACAGCATCTGATTTGTCAAAAAACACACCCCAAATATTCACCCTTCCCACTATCCTTTCTTAGTTCTCCAGAGTGGCTTTCCAAGAAATGGAGAGCAGACAGGGTTGGATAGAAGCAAAAGCATCAGATGTAAAGAACAAGATCAATATAAATATTCTTTAACATACAGTGAACTATTCTTTAATGAAAGATTCAACAGGACAGACCTGTTTCAAAATTGAAAAATGGGCCAAGTATGGTGGCTCATGTTTGTAATCCCAACACTTTGGGAGGCTAAGGAAAGAGGACTGCCTAAGCCCAGGAGTTTGAGTTTGAGACCAGTCTGAGTAGCATAATAAGACCTCGTCTCTATTTAAAAAAAAAAAATCAAAAAATTAGCCAGGCATGATGGTGAGCACCTATAGTCCCAGCTGCTTGGGAGACTAAGATGGAAGGATCACCTCAGCCCAGGAGATAGAGGCTGCAGTAAGTCCTGATTGTGCCACTGCACTCAGCCTGGGTGACAGATTGAGACCTCAACTCAAAACAACAAAAAAAAAGAAAAATGGTTTTCCTGCAAACATTACTGGCACATAGTACATTACATAAGTCTACATGATTCTCTTTGTATTCCAGTCAAAGTTATTTTTAAAAAGGAAGAAATAGGCTGTCAAAGCTCCTGTTGTGAGTTAAACTCCCCCTCAAAATCCATGTTGAAGTCCTGACCCCCTAGTACCTCAGAATGTGACTGCATTTGGAGACAGGGCTTTTAAAAGGGTAATAAAATTAAAATAAGGTCCTAGGGGAAGCCCTAATTCAGCATGACTGGTCCTTATAAGAAGAGGAGATTAGTACATGGATATGCACAAGACTGTGAGGACACAGTGAGCAGAAGGTGGCCATCTACAGACCAAGGAGAGAGACTACGGAAGAAACCAAGCTGACCAACACCTTGATCTCTAATTTCTAGCTTCCAGAACTGTAAGAAAATAAATTTCTGCTATTTAACCCTCCCAGTTGGTGGTGTTTTATTATGGCAGCCCTAGCAAATAACGATAGCCCCTAAAAACTACCCTCAGAATTATTCATATAATGTCTTAGGGGACTAAGACAGCAATCTCCATTTTATTGCTGTGAGAGGAAAAGTTTCCATTTGAAACAAATTAAGAAAATATTTGAAACAAATTAAGAAATACACTAGCAAACAATCGCTATGAAATTGAAATAAGAGACTCAGTAGAAAAATAAGTGCTCCTTAGAAAACTGTTAAAGAGCAAAAATGAACTATGATAAAGCATAAATTACCTTTAGATGAATATAACAGTCTTTCAGCTCAGATCCCCTGACGAGGGGTCCCTCCACAGGGCCAAACTGGGTACGCTTAGGGATGCGCCTTTTGGAGAACACTCCTCCAAGGAACCTGTCTATGTAGAGCACCAGGGGGAGACTCGCTCTTGCTCGGGTGAGCACGGGCCGGTTGGGGATCGGATGTAATGGGCCATGCTTTGGGCACACTGAAGAATGTGCATTATTACACTCCTCACACCCTACAAAAGAAAGAAAGGCTTCAAGAAAAGTCAAATTTCTCAGCGTAACTTGATCTCAGGTAAAAAGTTCTGACCTGAAAAATCCCCAAGTTTTCAAGCCAAAATTCAATTAACTCCTACAATGGCACTATCCATTCAATTGCAATACATTAGCTTTCACAGACCAATAAAAATCCTGTCATTTTCCTCTAAAATCAGGCAGAATTTGCTTATGCCTGCCAAAAATCATTTGCAGGCTGTGACTTATTTCTCCGCAGGATAGTAACTCGAATAGTGGCCACTAAATTTGCAAATCAATTACGTCTGAAAAGGAAAAAGAGCTTATTAGGCTAAATGTGGTAAAATCTGATGAGACAAAATAGTGAATTTTATAGCATGCAAATTATATCTCAATAAAGCTATATGAGAAAGAAAAAAAAAACCCTGACAATACTGTTGAATCAATTTTCTCAAAGGGAGTTACAGAAGTCTCATTATCTCAGCATGTCTAACTCAAACAGAAAAAGTGCTGAACAGTTTGTGGGTTCAATGCATACTGTCTGATGATAATGCTAGAATGAATGAATTCAGAATTCCATCCTTCATTCACTTGTATGGCACAGTTAGCCCAGCCCTGACAGGCCATGTATTTTAACTCATCCCAGAGGTACTCAGTTTGTGCCAATCCAGCCACAGTCACTCCCTCATTGCCCGGAGAACTCATCTGTAAGCCGACTGCCAGAACTAGATATGCACAGCCACAAAAGAGGAAGTGACTGCACCAACAGAGATAATGTCCGTGACCCTTAACAAGTTTAATTAGCCAAACATGCTTTTACCCCACCCCAGCTATGTGGTGGCTTGATTTAGGAAATAGGTAATTGCAACTTCTACAACTCTCAAATAATGTATTTGTATTAGTAGATAGAAGATAAAGTGAATTCCTGAACATTTGACTTGGGAGTTGGCTTGAAAATATGTGAATTAAAGGAAAAATAAAATGAGGAAGTTCTCTGTTGGTTTCAGATTAGATGTAGAGCTGAACACTGGGCCCAAGCAGATAGGTTTTACCACCACCACACAGATGGTCCAGGAGAAATAGGGTGACACCATAAAGTTCTGAAGAGCCTCAGTAACCCAAATAAATGAGGTAAACAATTTGCCATGTGAGCATGAAAATCAGTGGAAAAAGACAACGCTTTGGTAGGTAGAAGCAGATCCCCCAGCAGGCAGAACAGAGGCAGTCAGGTGTGGTGGTTGACCAAGGGCACCACCATGAGGACAGACCACCTGAGCTGAAATTTTGACTCTCTACTTACTAGCATGACCTTGGGAAAGCTACCTGCCCTATGAGACTGTATGAGACTAAATGAGGTAGTAAGTGCAGAGCACTTACGTCTGGGATAGAATAAGCATCTTAAAAAGGTTATTGTGGCCAGGTGCAATGGCTCACACCTACAATTCCAGCACTTTGGGAGGCGGAGGCGGAGGCAAGAGGATTGCCTGAGCTCAGGGGTCTGAGACCAGCCTTAGCAACATGGCAAGACCTCATCTTTACAATAAATCAAAAAATTAGCAGAGTGTGGTGGCGCATGCTTGTGGTTCCAGCTTCTTGGAAGGCTGAGGCGAAAAGATCACCTGAACCCAGCAGGTCAAGGCTACAGTGGTCATGAAAATGCCACTGCATTCCAGCCTGGGTGACAGAGTAAGACCCCGACTCAAAAAAAAAAGGTAATTGTGAAAGAGATAAAGCAACAAAACAAACATGTTAAAGCTGAAATGGCTGAATAGTCTAGGTTTGGGCAAATTTACCAGAGTTTTTACCAAAAAAGCTGATGTTCTAGTATCAGAGAGACGTAGGCTTAGATGCCTGATCCCCGTCTCGTCCCTGTGTAGCCCCAAGCATGCTGCCTAGCCTCTTCTGAACTTAAGTTTACTCAATAGTAAAACTGGAAAACAAACAAAAGTGTCAGTACCTCCATCACAGGGCTGTTGTGAAGGTCAAGCGAGATGATGTGTGCAGAGCACGCAGCACGGTGGTTGGATGTGGCAAGGACTAATGCATGGGAACTACTTTCAAACTCACCACACCCTTGCAAGAAAGGGCACACAGCTTCCTCAAGTGGCTAGTGCCCACACTTACATAAGTCATGTGGGTCAAAAGGCCGGGGCGGGTCTGGCTCCCAATCATCCAGATCTGTGTCTTCACCATCTTCTTCCTCATCTTCCTCAGTATCCTCATCCTCATCCTCGTCCTCCTCCTCTTTTGCCTCCAGTCTACCTATAGGGGTCTGCAGAGTTGCCAAAGGGTCGGAACCATCCACACTCTCGATTGAGGGTAACACCTGGTTATGCACTGGTAACGAAGCCTGGGCACAAGTGTAAGGCACACAGTGAGCAGATGCCTGCTTTCAGTTAGCTGGTATACACACACACTCACACACACACAAAGTGCAAGGTTTTGGTGGAATCTAATCTTCACACTCATTCCCTTCAAGGCCCCGGAAAAATGATTTCCATCCAAGGATGTGAGGAGTCTGACTTCATTTTTAACACCTGACTGACTGTTAACAGCTTTTAAGCATCAGCCCTCCCTCTTTCCCTTCTGCCCACACCCGGGCAGGCTGATAAGAAAGCATAGGTGTTCCCTCACTGGGTGTCAGTGGGAGATTCAAACTTAGCAAGGCTCTGACACGTGTTCTATCCTCAACCTCTTAAACTCAATACAACTTAGTCTCCTTTCTGGTCTCACTCAAGCCACTTCATATTTGCTTGAGAGGTCTGTCCTGTCTCCCCAGAAACTTCAAACGTGTAAGCCACAGACCTTTCCATGGCCTCTTGGTGTATGCTTGGAGAATCATCAGTCCCCACGTGTGAACTAAACCTGGTGTGGGGTCCCTCCTGCTTTTCCAGAGGCCACAACGAAGGGGAGGTAATGAGTTGACCTATCTTCAAACACTTCACTTTTACAACTAAACCCAGGTGCAACACCTAGTTGCCAAAATTCATTGGCTAACTTTTTAACACTTTTTAACACTTTTTAACACTTTTTAACACTTTTTAACTTTTTAACACTTCAGAAAGGCTGAGGTTAAATAAGAATGAAAGAGATGCCTATTTGTTTCATCATGCTGCAGTCAGAGCCTTGCAAATAAAACACAGTTCGGGTTATGTATGCTATCTTATCCAATCACTGATGGAAAATAAATGGTACCTTAAAAAGTTACCTTGCCTCCAACCTAAGTGTTATAGGGTTATATACTATCCCAGGTTCCTTTTATTCAATCTTATTCTTCCTGCTCATTTCCCAACATTCCTCAGCCTCTGCTTCCACATTTCACTACCTCGAAAGGCAGCCCGAACCATTCTGGAACATTCTATAACAGTTTCTGTGGCATTTAGATCTTCCAGGCATTGGTCGGGGTCTGGGACTTCCCTTTAGAGGTAGGCAGAATAACTCTAACCCTTCTGCCACATGGATCAAATATTTGAGGACCAAAAACCTCTAACTCATTCAATCATTTCTCACATGGGCAAACATCCAGCTTCCTGAGCATCCTGTTGTCTTCATTTATTCCTTAGGGGATAACACCTTTTTATTAATATATATCATCAGACTGTCATCTGAACTATTCTATTGCAGACCCATCTTGAACTTGCGGATAACAAAAATTCCTGAGTCCTCCCTCCCCAAAAGTGCTATTAAACAAGTTTCCCCTCCTCAGCACTTAAATAACTGATTTTTATTTAAATGAGGAATTTTGCATTTTTCTCTGGTAAATTTCATGTCATTACTGTAATCTGTTCTTCCAGTCTGTCAAGATCTTTTAGAACCTTGATTCTGACATCTCACACAATAGCTCTCCAGCTCTCTTTCATAACTTTGTACTCACTGCCAAACACCATCTACTTTGGTGATAAGTATGCATTTGCATTTGAGCCCATCTTGCCTCTCCAACTGTATCTCAGAGAAGTAGACCATAAGCTTAGATATCAGATAGATTTAGTGTAAAATCCTGGCCCAGATGCTTAGCAAGTTACTAAACTCTGAATCTCAGTTTCTCTATCTGGAAAATGGACACAGTAATACACACCTTAGGTTGTTGTGAGAATTAAGTGACATATGTTTATATAAGGCCAGTAGTAGTGTCTAGCACTTAGTGTTTAGCATTAATAATAATTATCATGGTAAGTTCTTTAAGGACCAAAAGGACATCATATATTTCCTCCTTAACCTAAAGAGACTGCTAAGCATGAAACAGGTGTTCAGTGAAGATTAATTCATTGAAATATATTTGGCCCTTTAGAAAATGACACCAATGCCTTAAGGAATCTTAACAAATTTTTTGCTGCTAGTTACAGCAACATCCTTTTTCTGTTGTGCATTTAAATCTAAGAACTTTGGGACTAGCAGTAGTGGGAAACTGTCGGGGGGGGGAGGTGGGATTGGCAGTTGAGGGAAACTGCTAGGGAGGGAGTGGCAGACCTCATTAACAAGGGTACGTGCCTGCCTAATCAACGTTTGCTGTATACCTAAACCTGAATTGTATCCCACATCTTTATAATTTAAAAAAATCTAAGAACTTCTTAAACTCTATGAAAAAACAGCATTGAGTGTATTTATTGAGAGCCTGACCTGCTACAGCAGCGTAAGACCACTGCCCAATTTTGGAAACATATAATCTCCAGAAAGCAGGTAAAATCAGCTACCTCAAACAGCATCTTCATGTTTTAAAATGCACTCATTTAAGCCGGGCTCGGTGGCTCAGCCTGTAATCCTGTGCCTTGGGAGGCTAAGGTGAGTGGATTGCCTGAGCCCGCGGGTTCGAGACCCGCCTGGGCAACTTGGTGAGACCTCATCTCTACAATAAATCAAAAATTAGCCAGGCGTGGTAGCACGCGCCTGAGTTCCAACTACTTGGAAGGCTGGTGTGGAAGGATCGCTGGAGCCCAGCAGGTCAAGGCTGCGGTGGCCGGGAGCGGCCACTGCACTCCAGTCTGGGCGACAGAGTGAGACTCCAACTCAAAAAATAATAATAAAAATAAAATAAAATAAAACGCACTCATTTAACCAAGAACCCAGACTTTTAACTGACATTCCATCTCTTTAATTGGGCCTTTTCAGAAAGTTTTAATGTGGGAGGACAAAATTCTGGGAGATGCTTCTGCCTTGGTTTCAATAAAAACAGCACAAAATACTCTTTGAGAATGATGACGCCACAAGGGAAAGAGTAAAGGACTTCTGGCAGTGCTGTGGCCACTCCCCAACCTCCTCACCAGATCCTACAAGGAAGTCACTTCATTCTCATCACCATCTTGGAGCATACTTTACAATACTGCCCTCTATTCTAAGCCACTTAAATTTTATGTCAGTGTTAGTAATGAGTGTTATCACACACTGAACAAACTAAAGCTTATATGCACCTCTATTCCTCATAAATTCCTTATCTCTCTGCAGAGTCAACCTGAAAGAATAAATTCAGCAGTTCAGAGTTATTCTAGTGAAACCGAGTTGTATTTTTCCCCAACAGATGTGTTAGAAAGACTCTGGTTCAGCAAGGTTACTGCTGGCTTCTCGCCACTGCTGAGAAAACTGACATCAAAATAATACCAACAACTTTCATCTCCCCCATGCTGGAACTCTCCCAACAGACTGTGGCAAAGGAAAGGCTTAAACACTTCAGCATTGTCTTTAAGGGCTGATGCTAAAGCAGAGGCTGAATATATACCAGAATCATACTATTGAAAAGGAATGAAAGGCCGGGTGTGGTGGCTCATGCCTATAATCCCAGCACTTTGGGAGGCTGAGGTAAGAGAATTGCCTGAGTCCACGGGTTCAAGACCAGCCTGGGCAACATGATGAGACCTTATCTCTACAATAAATCAAGAAAAATTAGTCGGGCATGGTGGCAAGTGTCTGTAGTTCCAGCTACTTGGAAGGTTGAGGTGGAAGGATCACCTGAGCCTACCAGGTAGAGGCCGCAGTGGCCGTGAGCCTGCCACTGCACTCCAGCCTGGGCAACAGAGTGAGACTCTGATTCAAAAAAAGAAGAAAAAAAAAAAAAGAAAAGAAAAGGAATGAAAAGAGTTGATGACAATCATTTCTAGGTAAGAACTGTATATTTCTAAACAGCACAGGCCTCAACACACAGTAGGCATGCATTACAAATTTGCTTAATGAATAAATAACTCAAATTCGTCTGGCATTTACTGAGTGCTAGGCATATGTTTTAATTCCTTTGAGGTCAGGTAATGCTATCCCACAGCTCCTAAGTGACAGAGACAAACTTTAAATTCTGACTCTGCACTGCTTTTTCCACTACATCACAATGGACCCTAAGGAATTCCATCTATTCTAGAAGGGCAGTAGAGCAGATAAACATCACCCACACACTTTGAATACCTGAGCAAAAATGTAACCACACATGCTCCTGAAGTCATAGCCAGGTAGTAAGTGGGTATGCAATGTGTGGCTGTTTTACTTAGAATAAAAAGAATACAAAGCAAAAACTATTTTAATCCTGTGCATTTTATCAAATATGGTAAAACACAGTAAAAAGAAAATGAATTTGTTAAACTTATGGCATATAAAAGTTTTCCTACCCACTTATTACAACACTCTGTAATTATTTCTGAAACTGCATAATGCACTTCAAGATATAATTTATCTGAGAAGTGAAATATGAAACTATACTGGACAGCAATAAACATAACAGAATGCTTCCTGATTCCTACTGAGACCCAATTATCAGTGCAGCATATTTCCTTCTCAGTGTGTGGGGACTCACACATGTTCATTTTCAAAAAACAAAGAAGAAACTGTGCTTCTGTGTCTGGAGCCTACTGATGCCTTTCTTAAGAGGATGAAAAGGGCTTCAAGCAGATTTTGCCCCCACTAAAAGCAATTGAAAATTGTTCCTTTTGGCTAAGAAAAAAAAAGTATCCATCATCTGTGTTAAACCTTCACTCCAACTTTCTATCCAAAATTTATCCAGGTCACCGAATAAACTGACAACCGCTGAGGTGTTATACCCAGAAATAAAAACGGTGCTGGTGGAGAGGAAACTGCAATGAAGAAAGATGCTAAGCCGATAGTTAAGCTGCCCTGTAATGCCAGGCTCATGGGGCTATCTGACTACAACATTCCTTTTGTACAAAACATGAAATAAGCAGATTGTTTCTGGAGATGGGAAAAGATGAAGAGAACTTTGAGGTGCAAATAGCAACAAAACCTTTAATTAAAACTATGCCTTAATGGTAAAACAACAAAATGTCACCTATCAGATTGGCAACATTTGAAAAGAATGCAAATACCCAATGTGGTAAAAGTGCATAGAGATGAGCACTCTCATATACTATGTTATTGGTAGAAACATAAATATTTTCAATACCGGAACAGCAATTCAGAAAGTCAAGTATCAAAATAATTTCCCCATTTATAAGGACAAATTTCAAACATATACCATATAAAGAGAATAGTATGGTAAACCTCACATACCCATCACTCAGCTCAACAACATCAACTCATGGCCAATCTTATTTCAACTAATCTCCCACCCACTTTTTCCCTCACTAGATTATTCTGAAGCAAAACCTAGACATTATACATTTTGTAAATAGTTTAGCATATATCTCTAAAAGAAAATGACTTTTATAAATTTGTTTAGAGTTGGTTTGTTCAAATCAGGATCCAAACAAGGTCTACCTACATATTGCTTCTGACTGATATATCCCTAAAGTCTTCTTTAGTAAAGTCTCCTTACATAAAGCTCCCTTCCTCATTTTTTCCCTTGTAATTTATTTGTGAAAGAAACCAGGCCATTAGTCCCAGAGAGTTTCCTGTACACTAGATTTTGCTAATTGCATTCTTGCATGTCTTTCAATTTGTTCCATTTTGTCTACCATGCTTCCTATAAACTGGTAGTTGAATCTAGAGACTTGATTAGATTCCAGTTCAATTTTTGGGGAAGAAGAATACTTCACACATGGCATAATGCATTAGGAAGCACACAATACCAAGAGACCCCTAATGAATATGGTTGTCTCTCTTTTTGTGATATTAAGAGTGTTCAGAGGGTTAAGTTGTTATCATGCTGATCTATGCATTATTAAGTTTCTTGTCAACTTTTTCCTGATAATTTCAGACTGATGTTGATAGTCATTGCCTAGATCCATGTTTTATTAGGGATGCTTTTAAAATGGTGATATTCTAAGTCAATCATCCCCTTTTTTATTTATTAGTTGGAATGCTTCTGTAAAGAAATTTCCCTCAGCCAGGCATGGTAGCTCACACCTGTAATCCCAGCACATTGGGAGACCAAGGCATGAGGAATGGTTGAATCCAAGAGTTTGAGGTCAACGTGGGCAACATAGTGAGACCTTGTCTCTACAAAAAAATGAAAAAGTTAGCTGGGCATGGTGACACGAGCCTGTAGTCCCAGCTACTCGGGAAGCCGAGGCAGAGGCATCACCTGAATCCAGGTCAATCAAGGCTGTGATGAGCCGTGATTGTGTCATAGAACTCCAGCCTGGGCAACAGAGGGAAACACAACTTTTTTTTTTTTTTTTTTT